ACATTTATGGAAAGTCTTCAGAGACTGGATCACATCAGAGGCTGGTGGACCTGGAAAGCACTCTGCAGCTAACACAGTACAAAGAAGTCTTAAAAAGTTCTACAAGCAGATCCCAGTGTACAAAGGTTGCCCTTTTGATGTAGCAATAGGAGCCCATTGTGCTGCAGCCTCCTCATAACATAACAGCAGTGGGAGTACTATTATACAATGCAATAAAACTCGGTGTGAAACATAAAGTTACATAGTTATTTATGTTGAAAAAAAAAGTCCATCGAGTTCAACATGCTATGTATATTTAAAAGATCTAAAGCATTCAACATTAGACCAGATTAGACATTTGCCATCTAGTCAGACCCAAAGTGTCATCTTTCTACTGCAGATTAGAAAACAAAAAGAGAAATTTAAGATTGCTATAGGCAATGAGCACATTTTCATGCAGTTTTAATGGTGAAGCTCTATGTGCCTGTTCATTTAAAAGATTTTGCAGATGCTATCATCTTATTTCTCCCCCCTGCACATTAAACCTGTAGTTGTAGCAAGTGATAACAGATTTACTATGCTCTTGTTTTATCCCTCTCCATCTGGCACAACAATAAATTGTTGCTGCTAGATAATGTAACAATCTTCTGGCACATTTACGAATGTTCCCAGCACATCTGCCACTATGTGGATAACGGAGGATCACCTGCAGATTTGTAAAGGGACATATGTTCATTGGCATAAAATTAGTAGGAAGATGTTTAACTAGCAGACATTTTTACTTGAGAAAAAAAAGGTAAGAAATCAACCAGCGTTTTAAAACATACTAAATCAAAATATGAAGCAGCCATTGCTGACATGTTTTTTGACATGTACAAAGTAAGGGGTTGTCATCCTTATTGTTTCTTCACTGCTCAGTGAATCTCTGACCTGTTTTAATAAGAGATCACATGATCCAGTCTATACTTTGCTTCTCTACTATATAGAAGAATGAGATTAGAAAACTGCATCCTGACTTAAAGTACTGTGTTGCAGTAATATGGAATCCAGTGTTTGTTGTTCATTCTAGGACAGTGGTGGCGAACCTTGGCACTCCAGCTGTGCCAAAACTACAAATCCCAACATGCATCTGCCTCTGGGAGTTATGTCTGTGGCTGTCAGAGCCTTGCAATGCCTCCTGGGACTTGTAGTTCCAAAACAGCTGGAGTGCCAAGGTTCGCCACCACTGTTCTAGGACATTGTTCATTTAAAAATTCAAAATGCCAGAGCTAGCAGAGAGCGATGACATCCCTCCCTCCTTCATGTGACAGCATTCGGGAGCCTAGGTATTGTGAGGCCAAATGTTTCCGTCATACCCAGAACCACTGGATATTTTGCAGCGGATGAGTGCAGGAGACACTCTGAGATGAGAGAGAGGGACACCCAGAATTGTTTTTGTAATCTCCATTACGTTTCCTTTAAAAAGGCTTTTCAAAATTGCAAACAAGATAATTAAGATGTAAGATAAAAGGTTTTAGTGCAGAACACTTTTGGTAAATAGAACAATTTTCATAGATAGTACATCAGATCAAAAAGAGGGACATCAGATCAAAAAGAGGGACAACTGAGGAGGAAAGCGGGACAGAGGGATTTGGTTCTAAATGACCCCATGAGATGCCGCCTGAGGCAACTGCCTCATTATAGGGACTGCCCTGATGAGGAGAGCGCTGTAAAAGGTGATATAACTGGGTCGGGGAGGGTTTTAAAGAAACCCCATCACTGTCTCCTGGATAAGCAAGGTGACATGGTCTCTTTAAGTAGTCCAGCTGAAACTGGACTGTAAACTAACTGGAAAAACAAAAACAAACAAACCCCTTTCACTAACCTTTAGGCCCCATTCACACTAAGCGCATTGCCACGCGATTTCGCGAGAACTCGCCGGCCAATGATTTTCAATGGAGGTGTCCTAATGTACAGCTCCATGTCGCCCGTCGCTCCTACAGGACCCTTTTTTTCGGCGGATTTTGCGCAATTTTTCTATTTTTTTATGCAGCTTGACGGTGAAGGTCGCGCTACCGTTGCTGGATCGTCGCCCCGAAAGTCACGCTATCCCGGCCGCACGGATCCGCTTCAAAAGGTATGTCGCTTACTGTGAATGGTGCCTTACTGCTAAATCACACAAAAGGACATCCTGTACAAACAGATGATCTTTAAAGGAGAACTATGGGGTTAGGGCTTTTCCCCATAGTTCTCCTTAGGGTAATGGGAGGACACAAACTAGCGTCCTCCCGTCTGCCTAGGCTCAGTATACCGCAAGCTGTAGCTCGCGGTATACTGAGACGCCGCAGCTGAAGCGGATCCCGACAATTATGCCGGGATCCGCCCAGCCTCGTGAGTGACAGCTGGCTCTGCCTATCTAGAGGCAGAGCCAGCTGTACCCGCCCCCTCCCCCTGTCCGTTCCGCCAGTCAGCGCTGGCGGATCGGAGCGGGGAGGGGGGAATCCAGCCCCTCTCCTGTCACGGCAGAGAGCTGTGACAGGATCGAGAGGTGAGCGAACGCTGGTATGTGTACGCTCACTTCCCCATCTACTGAGCCGACCTGTGGCAGTCTCATTGTCACAGGTCGGCTAGAACTATGAGGTGAGTGAAAAGCACTTACCTCATAGTTCTCCTTTAACAGCCTAGAATAGCTGTGGGTAGAATAGGCATCACCTACTGCCATCTAGTGATCAACCAGAACAACACATTGTAATTTAAACCCAAGAAAAAAAATGTATTATACAGTATAGCAGTTTACCAGTCCTTGGTGTGGTTGCTGCATTGGTTGTCCTTTCAGACTTTTTTTCAACTGCTAATCCTGCCAGTATCTTGAACGAAAACCACATTCACAGTAAGCATTTTTTTTTCTTCGTTTTTTCATCTTGTTCCTTTGATTTTCATCACTAATCATTCGATCATAAAATTTGACCGCATTAACTATTCGAAAAATATTTTTTTTGGAACTTTTTTTTATTTTCTTACAAAAAAAAAATCTACTGGTGTATGGCCAGCTTTCATTTGAACATTCTTTCTACCTTACCTACATAGTAGGGCCTCATTCACGTCATTAGATAAATAACTACAATAGAGTTAGTAGTGTCTCATCTCCACTGGTCTAAACTCATTTACATAAACATGAGTTTGCCAGGGACGGCAGACAGCCACACGCTTATATATAGACATTACTTTGTATAATAAAATGTTCTGAGCTGTTTGCCTGCTTGACAGAGAAATTCAGCAGTTCATGATTGCGGCCCCTGTACAGCCTGTGCATTGTTGTTAGTCAGATAGAGTATTGTGTGCACACAATCCACCGGGTGACATTTTCATTTTGTCAGTTCGAACTGTGGAAGTTATGGGCTACATAGTATTTGAGGTTGAATAAAGACACAGGCCCATCAAGTTCAACATTTGTGTGTCGGTGTGTGAAGTCATGGGTAAACTTCTAAAAAATGTGTGTGGTTAGATTGAACTATTAAAAAAAAAAAATAAAAAAAAAATTAGAAGGCCTCTACTAAAGAAATGGAGAAATATACCTGAATGTCTTGCTGATCCAGCGGTTTCAAAACTTAAAGTAGAATAGAAATATTAGCTTTGAGATATTAGATGTGTTTAGAAATTAACAACCTCTAAGAACATTTGTTCAAAACTAGCATAAAGACCTTATGTTAGTCAGCTGATCTACATAAATGATCTATATGAGATTCCTGCTCTAGACCCCCATATGGGGTCTAGAGCAGGAATCTCAGGATGTATTGTATCCTGTAACAGAACAAAGCGAGACACCTCGGCAACAGCAGTCTGGGGCTCAGATCTCGGATTGCTGACCTTTGAGTATTTTGTGATTAGGGCTGAGACTTGTAGTTCCTTACTGGCTGTGAACTGTTGTACGGACACCGAGATGCTCAGACATTCCCTTGCTGCCTGCTACCTGGTGTACCTGACACTGTGGCCAGGTCACTCCTCCCTGGACCCACCGCTCTCTCTCGGGAAGGCCTCTGCAATCCCCTCACTCTGCGGATCGCCCTGCCTGGATCTCCCTCCGCCAAGCCAAGCCAACCCGCTGCCCAGGACTGTTGGACAGCTATGGTGCGAGTTGCTTAATTTTTTTCTACCATCCCTTGCTATGCCCATGATGACTACGCCTGTGAGTGACACCAGGCAAGCATTAGTAGTTTATTTTAAAGAGACCCTGTCGGCAGGTGGAAAACCTTACATCGGCAGCCCTTTGTAAAAAAACAAGTTTATACTTCCCTCTCCGGTGTAGTGAAAGTTTGTTCTCTTGAAAATTTTGGTGCATTACTGGTGCCCTCCACCATTGGGTGCTGTAGTTCCACCAAATGAACCCTATGTCACTAAACTGCAGCTGTTCTTCAAATAGACGTTACAACTTACAAATGGTTTCCTTTGGCAACAGAGTCACTTTAAGAACATTTATTTGTATGACCTTGTTTAAAATGCTGACTTGTATGCAGTATATTAAAAAGCATCTATTTATAAATGTTCTCACACATGATTCACACATTTTTACTGGATTCAATTGCAGAAAAAAAAGAGAATGAACGTTGTGTTTAGCGTGTGGGAAAACATTTGTAAATATAACTCTAAGGGTCTTATTTAGTTTTTTGGTCTCATTTATTCTACAAATAGGTACATTTATAAGCAGATGTAATTTTCCTATAAGCAATGAGAGGGTAATTCAGATGAACATGACTATACCTGACCATCTATAGACTTGGCTATAAAGAGGTGTTCCATTACATTTTTGCCCAACTTCTGGAGGTGCCAACACCTTTAAAATATTACTAATTTATACTGGGGATATCCCACAACCGATTTCTATATTCAAGTTTCCAGCAAGTCATGCTCTGCACAGTTTTTGGTACATGGACTTATCTATTGGCTAATCTAATGGCTAATAGTTTAATAAATTCAAATTCCTGTAAAAAAAAAAAAAAGAACAGCACTAAACATTTGATCTGTGATTGTGTGAGAACTGGGATATATACACAGTGGGGCACTTCAGGACACGATTCAGGAAACAATACACTTATTTAATAGACTTTGAATATTAAAAAATTTAAAAAAGTCCAAAATATATACAAAAAGCTTTAATTCTGTAAATATTGTTTAAAAGATACATGAAAATGAATTTAAAGCACCTGCAGAGGTTTATAAAATTTGCTCTGAATGAAGACCCTTGGTACACATAGGCCCTCCTTCTTGTTCACAGTCTCACGTAGAACATACTCGTTAGAACCTTCCGTGTACCCCGCTGTTGTAAAGATACTTTTCAAAAACTCTGGAAAAAAAAAAAGGAAGTAATTAAAAGATGAACTTCAAGAACATACCGTATTTGCCGGCGTATAAGGCCACTGGGTGTATAAGACGACCCCCTAATTTTCCACTTAAAATATAGGTTTTGGGCTATACTTGTAACATAAGACTACCCCACTTCCGAGGCAACACCATTTAAAAACATCATAGATGGATGCGCGGTAATACTGTATGTACTGTAGCTTCAGCTACATACAGTATACCACGCTGAGCCAATCATGGCGAGCGATGTATTCTATTAATGAATACAAAGCCTGCTTGGATTGGCAGAGGTTGTGTACATCGCTCGCCGTGATTGGCTCAGCTCAGTATACTTTATGTAGCCGAAGCTACCGTACATACAGTATTACCACACATCCAGCGGGCTGACAGATTAGGGATGTTCGTTTTTGCCAATCTTGGCCCAAACGAACTAAAGGTATACATTGTATACCCCGCGTATAAGACGACCCCCGATTTTTGGGGGATGTTTTTAGGTATAAAAAGTAGTCTTATACGCCAGCAAATACAGTAGTCACAAATTAGTGCAACTCTTTAATCATTAAATGTATGTTTAATGATGGGACATATATAAATCTATAGATACACACACACAGAGTGGCCAGATTATTATGACCACCTGACGTTTGTTGGCTAATTAGCTATAATTTCACGCTGAAGTTGCTAGAGGCCCAGACCATTATAAATAGGGAAGCAGGTTGTTTACCACGACAGTAGTAGTGAATTTTTCCTGAAGATATGGGTAAACAACGCGATTTAACAGCCTTTGAACGTGGGATGATTGTTGGCGCTCGGAGCCATGAAGCGAGTATCAGCAAAGAGACCCCTGATGTCTCCATAAAGAGGACCTGTCATGTAAATTGGCTATCACATAGGGGGCTTCTTCTTTAATAGCAATAAAGTTGTGTGTAAAAAAAATAATACAAAAATTAAAGAATCATAAAAAAATAAAGAAGAATAAAAAAAAATTAAAAAGTAAAACATTTTTTTTAAAGTCCCCGCCCCCCACATACACATGCAGATATGCGTCGGGTGCGCCTACGTGTGAAAACGACAATTGCGCCTATTGTGCCACACGTTACATATCACCGCAAACGGAGTGAGAGCAATAATGTTAGAGCCATTAATCACTGATAACACTAAGCTGATGAGCAGTAAAATCGTTTTAATCGTCGCATATGCGCGTTTTTTGCGATTTTGCGGGCGCACGCAATTTTAAGGCTTGACATGTTTGGTGTCTAATTACCCGACGAGATCCCGACTTTTATGTTTTACTAAAAAAATGGGTAAGAATAAATGTTTTATAAGATAACGTAGGGAAACTGTTTTTTTTACATTTATGGTACTTTTTTCATTGTATAGTAAAAAAAAAAAAAAAAACCCCCCCCCCCCCGAGGTGATTATATACCTGCAAAAAAAAAAATCTGTTTTCAAAAATTTTTAACATAAAAACTGGAACTTTGGCATGAATACTTTTAGCTCATAAGCATTAAAACGGAACTAAACAGATGGTTCACCTGTTGTGAAAAAGTAAGATCGGGTCCCATCCTGTCTTACGTAGAAGTTTTCTCCGAGCTTACTTCCTGATTTGAAGCGTATCATGGCATGATCATGCAGCCCATAGTCCCTGAACAAAACACAGCCACCTGGTTTCAGCACCTGTAAGTACAATGTTCCTTAGTTTGAGGTGTATACACAGTATATATGACATCATAAGATTTTGCATTCTTTAAATACAAGGTACCTTGTAAATATTTCTAATCACAAGATGCATTTTATCTGGATGGATAGCAGACAGGACAAAGATCAAGGTGGCGACATCCACACTTTCCGCTGGTATGTTCTCGGTTAGATCGTCCTTGGTCAGATCACACTGGAAGGCTTTGCAGGTATTGGTATTGTAAGCTGGATTTTGCTAAGAATGCAAAAGAGACTAAATTAAATACTCTAATATACATTGCAGAATCTAAATGAACAGTTTGGTTCTAGCATTCATATTTGATACCTTGTGGAAATGCTTGCTGCAGAACATTAACTAAAAGGGCATTGCCAGGAAGATAAAAAGAATGTAGTTTGTAAACTGTATTGATCATCGCAGCCTTCTGCTCCCACCTGGGGCTCAGAGGTTCCTTTCCATCAGGTGTGATGGCAGCAATAACGTTCATGAAAAAAAAGTAAACATCTGCAGGACACGTTCCCGTGCCTGCACCGTCTCCATCTCTTCAGCTCTGCTGGCTCTGACGTCAGAGCTGAAAAAGAGGTCACTCCGCCACTCACTGCTGCAGAGCACACCCCGCACAGCTTACCAGAGACCCTGCAGCACCCACCTAAGATCCTGCACAGCCCAACTGAGAGTGACCCCGCACATACCAGAGACCCTGCATAGCCCACCTGAAACACTCCATGGTGGGCTCTACGGCGTCTCAGGTGAGTTGGTTGGGGTTCCTTTTCCTGCACACTGTGCTCCACTTACCTGTCAGCCGCCCGCTGTTGGGCCCCGGCCTTCTCCACCTCCCGCTCCTTTACCTCCGCCGCCAGGCTTCCTGCTCCTTCACCGCTACCAGGCCCCGGCCTCTTGTTCCTCCATTGCCGCGTCTCAGCCTCCTCCTCGGCTGCTGAGCCCCGGCCTCCTGGTCAGGCTCCACCTCTGCCCCGGGCCCCATAACGACTGCGTGGGTTGCTATGGTGGTTGTTACGCCACTGCCTGCAAGCTCCTTAGAAGCAGACATTGAAGGGTGAAAGGGTGGTAAATCTATTTTACTCACTATACTCACCCAAAACCTGTAGACTAAAATGCAAAGCTTTTCAAGTAGCCATTTACAGCAGAACTCCAGGAATTAAGTCTAGTCTAGGTTTAAAAACCAAAAACAAAGAATTACTCATCCAAAGCTCCTAGTCGGCTTCTTAGACCGGTCCCTGGAATGTCTTCCCCTCCTCTGCAGCAGACTAAGGGCCAGTAAATCATCAGGTCTATACACTGTGCATAGACAGGAGGATGCTGAGGAACATTCCAATCTGCTGCTGCGGAGGGGACAGGCTGGAGGGAGCGCTGCGACAGCGGTTC